CATACGATCTTTGGGTGAATAACTCTCCACTTTTTTCAGATCTTTCTCAAGATGCACTTCCCTAACTGTGTTATAGCTTACTTGATCATGAAACCTTTTGTCAATTATGAAAAACCTTTTACTTTGATGACCACACAAAAATCAACACCTTTTGATTATGTCATGATCATGCAATGCAAAAAATTCAATAAGTTAATACAAATAAATAAAAATTAATAATTTACTGTAAAACAAAAAATGTAAATACAGAATAGACAGATAAAAACAAGATAAGAAAAATGGTTAGTACTAATTAATGGAAAGGAAAAAAAGTTCTACTTATCATGGCATCTACCCTAACATGCTTTGTTCAACCTATAAATCCTAACCTCATGCTTTCTATTTTGCATGCTTGTTCGAAAAAATAAGTAAATTCGAGGAAAAAGTTAGAATAAATTTCCCCCTACAGACAAAATTCAGTATAAAATGAACAGAAATTCGGTATTACTAATAGGGTACTCGAATTTTCCTTTACTGGTGCCCCCTTGAGCTTGTCAGACCCTCGATCCTTACCCATTACAAGTTTAAACGGGTTGAATTCAATTCGAGATGATTCATTTCCCCATGTCCATGCGAAGAAACTCAATGTGTCACTCGTAAACATGAGGCATATGTATCCTAGAAGTTACTTGTTAAAGCCTATGCAGAGAAAAGTAATTTTTCTCACGTAAGGATAGCGTTCACCCCTACCTAATGGGACAGAGCACAATTATAAGGCTCTTGATATCAAACATCTGTAGTGTGTAAGGGGAAACTCACAATCCTTTGTCTCGATCCCAGAACAATCAACCTAAAAAGGGTTAGACATATGAAACACAAAAACTAATCACATTAGTATAACCTAAACAAGAATAAATTATCAAAATTTAAATTTCATTCAAATTTTGCCATTTTTATCTAAAAAGATAATGTATAGTCGAATATAGTTTGACTCTCTAAAAAAAGTCCCCAACAGAGTCGCCAAGTTGTCGAAACAGTCTCTGTCGGGCTTTTTAGGGCTTTTTTGGGAATCGATCTGACTTAATATTGAGACATGTGTTAGGTTTTAAATAAATACAAGCTTGGAGACATCATCGACTTTTGGGGTAGGTAAGTCAAATACCTAAAAATACCTTCTAAAATAATTTTAAAATATAAAAATTTGATCTACGATTGACCAGAGATTCACTTTGAAAAGGGTTTGGGAGTCGGTTACGTGTGGGGAAGGATTAGCACCCTCACAATGCCCAAAATTGGAACTTATATGATTATACATTATCTTAATATTAAAATTGGCAAATTTGAATAATATTTAAATTATGATATTTGTTTTTTAGAAAAATAGAAAGAGATATTATTTTATACGAATAATCCTTATAAATACACTCCTTGTTAGTTAAGGCACATTTCTATAAATTCTTTGAATAAAATAACATTTAAATATATTGCTATTAAAAATTAACAAATATGCAAAATTAAAATAATAAATGTAATAACTTTAATGATTAAATTATAAGAATACAAAAGTTCAAGGTTACCTATGTAAATAAATCATATTTTAGGTATTAAAATGGTAAATAAGCCAACAATAATATTAAAAATTAAAAATATTAAAGTTCATGGATTAAATTGCAAAACATCAAAAATTAATGGCCATAAATAGAAACATTACAAAATAGAGGTACGAGAATGATAATTTAATCATAAATAAATATTCGGGATTAAAATATAAATTATTAAAATTAAATCTTATATTTTACCTAAAACATATGTTAATATTGTTAGTGACTAAATATAATTAGAATGAAATCTGAAATCCAAATCAACATACATGGAAATCAAATTTAGTGACCAAAATATAAAGATACAAAGATAGGAGAACCACGAATACAATTAACCCATTCTCTAAAAACACAGATACCCCCTTTCGAAAATACGTCGTTTCGTCATGGGTACAAATACCCTAAAGCGGCTGAAAAAAAAGAGCCCAACACTCATTTTCTTAATTTCCTTTTCTCTAAAAAAGAGAGAATCATTGTTCTCTCTGCCTTCTCTCTTAATTCCATCGTCGGAAGGAAGCCGGCCACTGATCGACCGCCGTATTTCGACGCCTGCGACCATCGCCGACCACCATACATGGTGGTCAAAATTTGACCAAAAACCCTAAATTGAAGCCTAACTTTACCTGGTCTTGAATCTGAACCTCCTTCCTCCTAAACCTCTATTAACCGACCTAGATCTAAATGGTTACCTTCGAAAAACCTAGTGTTCTGACGATGATACGATACGTTTCTTCTATCCTTTTTTATATTTTGTTGTTGTTGTTGTTGTTGTTTTTGTTGTTGTTATTGTAAGTCGTTGTTTTTTATGTCTGTTTTTTTGTATGGATGCTCTTCTCTCATTGTCCCTTTTTTGTTCGTCCTTTTCTGCTGTGTTCCCCCATTTTTCGTATGGTGCTTGTTGTTCCTCCTTTTCTTTTTGTAGTAGGTTTTCATCGGGTTTTATACCCATTGCAGTATGTATGTATTTTAAATGTTTTTCCTTTGATTGATATATTGGTGATAATTGTTGCAGGGGTAGCGTTTGGCAGTAGCATGAGCGGCAGAATATGATAAGTTGCATCAGTATGGGCGGCAACACAATGGCTGATGGGACATGGGCGGTGGGAACGTGGATCACACCTGCAAAGATCAGACGGTGGATCTTGAAGGCGACGGGTGGGAAAAGTCACTAGAAACCTTAATGTGTTTAGGGTTTATATCGGGTTTGGGCTAAATCGGTTGGGTCTTTGGGTTGTAATTTGGGCTCGGGTCTACTGCTTTGATTTGGGACTAGACAGGTCTGGGTGTATTGGGTTCCTGTAATAAATTTATTATTATATAATATAATAAATAATAATATAATAAAAACGGGATGAAAATGATTGTCTACAATTTTATTTATTTAATATTAATGTAATATTTCAGTATCATTTCAATAAAAATAATAATTACTAAAATATATTTATTAATAATATTAGTAATATAATAGAATATTTTTTTAGTATTATAATAATATACTCAATTATATTTTTTATTTTAACAATATATAATATACAATTAATAATTAATAAAATTAATATTATTTAAATATTGAATATTTAAAATATATTTATTAATATTTTTTAAAATATAATATAATATTTTTATTTTAATATTATAAATTTAATATATAATACTATTTATAAATGTCTACAATATATGAAATACTAGAGTGCTTATATGAGAGATGTGTAAGACTATTCAAGTCATTAGAAAGAGAATAACTTGACGAACAAGAAAATATAAAAAGAAGGAAGTTAGAGACTTACGTGTGCAACAAGAAACCAAAGATTTTTATAACCCAAGTGGGAGTTGCAACTCTTTTCTACCCTAATCTATTTCAATTGCCTCTGTTTTGTTCTTCCACTTACCTTCAAATCCGTTGCCTGTTGATTTGCTTTCTTTTCTGTTAGACATGGTGAATAGACTCCAACACGCTGTGATGGTCAGCTCCGACCGGTGCAAGCCAAAGAAATGCCGCCAAGAGTTCAAGAAAAGCTGTCCTGTTGGTAATCCCTCCGTTAGTGATTCAACTTTCAATCTTTATGTGAAGAAAAAGGTAGAGCAAGAATGTTGTGATGAAAGCCAGAGTCTAAACAAACTCACTCTGACTGTATTACAAGGGTTTGTAAACCGCTTAAGCCATGGAACAGTGTCCTCAAGGCCAAGGGGGAAATCAAGATTGTTTGATCCCTTAGGAAAAGAAACAGAAGACATGCAATAATATGCAGAAGCAGAAGCATATTCCAAAGAAGAGGCAAGCTGATCAGAACATGCAGAACTTCAATGAGTTGGGTTTAGAACCACCTCCCAACATGCAGGAAGCGTTCAAGATTTGCATTCAAGACATGGGTGGGACTGAAATAAAGCTGGTCATTCAAAAGTTTATTCGACACTGATTTGGATCCTCAACAGAACCGGATGTCAATGCCGTTAAAACAAGTCAAGTGTGAGTTCTTGAATGACAAGGAGAAAGAAAAATTGAGTAGAAGAGAGGCAATACAAGTTGTGTTGGTAGAACCACTTGTTGTTGTGTCTGAGTTGAACTTGAACAAGTAATGTGGGGAAAACCAGTTCTTCATATGTGTTGAATGGTCCATGCTACAAGAACGTGGTGAAGAACAATGAAGATAGTTTAAAGCTGACGGCAGTGGTACAGATCTGGTCGTTTAGGGTTGGGACTAACTCACAGCTTGGATTTTCCCTCGTCGATATTAGAGATGGGGAACAACACTAATTCAACAGATTACAACATACATTTTGTAGTAGCCCTAGGCTTTTTGTGTAAACTATTTTCTATTTAGTATTAATTTCAATGAACCGATATACACATTTGCAAATATTGCATGTTAAGTTGATATCAAAGTTGAAAAGGTTTGGGATGGAAATATTATGTATTTGCATGTTAAGTTGAATAGTTTGACTGTTTCTGGTTTTGCTAGGTAATGTAATTTTTTTGCTTCATTTTCAATGTTTTAAATCAATGTATCATTGTAGAAGCCATGTAAACAAACACATCCCTGGGGTTTTAAACTTTGGGGATGAGACGATTATTTGTGTTGGACGTAACTAAACTTTCAAAACTAATACGATCTCAGGAGCATGTGAGGGGAGGGGTTAGGCTACCATATGTAGCGTAATCTATTCAAACCAGAGATATGCCAAGAGTTTTAATGGCTGTTATGATTATGATTTGGTATGATTTTCTACCAACTTTGATGGGTGCCATAAGATTTTGTATCTGTCTTTCAATCCTTGGGGCCTACCATAGCCATAGCCAGTGCCTAGCGTAAAAGTCTAAACAACAACACTTACATATTAATCACTTTTATCAACCTATTTCTTTTATCACACTTGCACAAACCGACCTTTTATTATTCCTCAAGGTTCTGGGTTCGTCTACCGCAAATATATACAGGAAAGTTTTCTACATCACTTTACCAAACAAAAGTTTGCTACTTCTAACCACATTAAATATACAATTAACGCACACTAACGGTATGATGATTCTATCTGATTGAACACATGTTCTATTATGTTCTATGTCATGCAACTATACAACACAGTCTACAAACAACATGAATGTGGTTGGCTCCAGCCACACCAACACTCTAAGCCTCAAAGATCAAGATGGAGGGCTATGCTTAAGATGTTGCTCATAGAAGTTGATCAACTGGCACAACAGAAAAAGAAAATACAGAAAATGTGAGAAGTGTTGGATCTTGAGCCAATGTTAATTGACAATGAAAATGGTCAGGCAAGATGAAGATCAATTACCAGAAGAGGATTGTTAGCTTTAAGATATTTGTTGTCCACCATAACCTCTTTTCCATCGGATCTGTAAAAGAGGCAGAAAATTTATCATAGCCGAAAGAAACTTCAAGTGAAACATAAATCTCAGTACTCTAAAAGCATCATATCTAATACTAGAAATTTCACTATTCTACCGGTTCATATGCGATGGGGAGTTCCTTTTATATGAAAAGGCAGTTTTAATGTTTGAAAACCAACCTGATTGCCAAGAAAGTTACCAACACATCTTGATTGTTGTCTGATACAGAAGCTGAAAATCCTACAGGCTTGAGAATCTTTGTTATAATAGGTATATTTACAGAATTATCCATCAGGTGTGTATGACTCAAACCATCAGCTGTTAAACAAAGATTCTCAATCCCCATCTGTGCATCTGTAGTCTCATAGTCGACACGGATGTTTGGTGTTGCATTTTGAGTCAAATTAGATCTATAGGAAGATATATCTTGTTTAAACCTCTTCACTGAACCAGACTTCCTTCTTTTAGCCCCTGTTCGACGATCACTCTTAACTGTTTCTACTCCGTCAACATTTCGTAGCCCATCAGTGAGACCATCATTTCCAGAAGTGTTTCTTTCTTGAACCCGTATTGCAAGCTTATCGGCATTGACCCCATTGGAAGAGACTTTTAGGTCACTGAGTTTGGTATTGTAATCATTTTCATCCTTCCTTTCATGAATTTGCTTTGAACCACTTGTAGACCCATTCTCCTTCAAAATGTTACGTTTTTTGACATTGTTGGCATTTCGGTTATTCTCTCCCTTATGGGCTAGCACTGCAGTTGGACCTGAAGCAAGAAAACCTGCAGCATCTGAAATTTCAAGAGGAACAGAGGGAGACTTATAAACTTCACCGACCTCAAGACTGGTCAGATTAGATGTAAAAGCAGAGGAGCGTAGCTGCTTCTTCTTGGACTGAATTTGAGGACCTCCAGACTTGCGTTTGCGCTTTCGGTTGTGTTTCCCCGAACGCAAGCTTCAAACCAGAAATAAAATTAACCAACAAATTATATGAACATACAAATTTGTTGCATACACCTTATTTCCAGGAATCATTATGTAACAGATTTATACTTCTTTTCTTATCCAAGAGAATGCAAACACAATTTAACTTGACCAAAAAGTTACTTAGACTTGAACTAATTCAATTGTTTGGCACTCAACTTCGAGTACTTGACAAGAAACGTAACCTTATGGGGTATAAAACCACAACAGCAACAACATTGAACAAATACATTGTTAGCAAATAAATTATGCTTTCCTTTAGCTTACCTAGCAACCAGATGAAGCTTTGAAAAATGCAGAAAAGAAAGCAAGGAATCCTACCTTTCCTCAAATGCATCTATAACATCACAGCAAGACTGAAGATTCTCCAATGGCTCCCATGTATTAGAAGTTTCTGGCCATCCGCGCCTTCGAAACAAAAAAAAACCCAAAATCAATACTGTGGCTCATACATCATACTGTTTAATGGGGGAAAGCATCGAATATATAGAATGAAAGCTTACTAACCATTTGATGAGATACTGCAGCTCGCCCTGTTACATACAAAAGCATCCATGATCAAATGAAACACAGAGAAAAACTAAACCTAAAAGGACAAACTCCCTTATCTCATTTTCATCACAAACCCTCAAATTTGAGAAAAAATTAACCAAAGCCAATTTAGAACCCAATATTCCCCTCTATAACACCTGTTTGGTTCAAGAGAAAAGAGGACAAAAACAAAGCCAAAAAAGAGGAAATTCATAACCTTTCGAACCCTTTTACGACGAATAGCTTCAATCTCATAAAACCCATCATCAAGTTTAGTCCTGTGTTCTTCTTCTCCATCATCATTATCTTCTTCTTGTTCTTCTCCTTCTTCCTCATCATCGTCGTCCACTTCCTCTTCTTCGTTTTTCTCCCCAAGTCCTTCACCTTCAACTATTTGCTCAGCGGTCCCTTCTTCCTCACCCTGTATTATTACTTTTTTCCGCTCTCCTCCTTCCATTTCCCAAACAAAACCCAAAATTCTAAACAATAATTACAAGATGAAAAAAAAAAAAGATCTCAAAGTAAAAGATTCCACTTGATTTTGTTAATTATTTTCCCCACCTAATTTTGCAATGAATTTTGAGCTAATGAGCTGGGAGCAGAGATATTGTCAGTGGGGTAAACTATACATTTAGTAATTAAATTATTACTTTTATTCTGTTTTGATACTTAAACTTTCATTTTTTTTTAAATTATACCTAACATTTATTTTTTTCGTTCATTTGGCATGGCGTGATAGTTTTTAACTATTATTTAATTACTGACATTGAAATTTTAAAAAATATTAAAAAATATCACACCATGCCACATCAGCATAGCCATTAATTTTTTAACGACGGAATACTAAAATAAAACAAAAATAAATATTAAGTATAGTTTAAAAAAATGAAAATTTTGGTACCAAAATAGAATAAAAGTGATAATTGAGATACTAAATGTATAGTTTACCCATTGGAATAATTTTTTTGCCAAAACTTGTTCCAAAAAAATGTTCGAGTCCGACCAATCCATACCTCTCAAATAACTTTTTATTTAAAAATATAATATTATAATAATATTTATTTATTTTAATAATTAAATTTAAATAAAATATGTAATAATCATTTAATTGTATAGGAGATACTCCAATTCACAAATAAAAATTGGATATCTCAATTAGGTCACTCAATTATTAAATTGTTAATGAAATTGTTAACAAGAGATTTAATTTAAGACTTAAATATTATGAGAATTATATTTAACCATTAAGATAACTTAAATATTTGTTATATTTAAGTTGAACTTGATAATGTTCAACTGGTGGGATGATGTTTTATAGCCGTTAACATAATGAAAAATGAGGTGACCAAGTTAACGATTTGTGGTTCATTTTTTCTAGTGTGGATGGAGTGTCATTGGTAGGTTAGGGTTGTAACGCCTTGAAATTTGATTCAGAAATTATAATTTTAGAAATGTGGGACTTAAGGGAAAGAATTGAAAATTTGTAGGTTCAATTCAATTTATTCAGAAAGTTTAGATGATTAAATCGAAAGAAATAAAATATGTTAGCTTAATGAAAAAGAATTTGTGAAAATGAGAATATTGATTTGATTGTAAGTTAAAATAAAAGGCATGCTTTGAAAGGTCATGGAAGTTAAGGGGCCATTTTAGAATTTAAGCATTTTCCTTTGAAAACGGAAAAAATGGAAAAAGAGAGAAAAAAAATATTGTTAGAAGGGCTCGAACCAACATTTGCCATGTGGGAGATATGAGATGTAGTTGTATTTGTGATAGATAAGGATGCTTTTAATTTTAAATTTGTATTTTGGGTGGGTAAAAAGACCTTGGGATAAATAGTTAAGTTTAAGCATAATAAATTATTCTATTTTATTTTCTTGCACGCTTAAATTTTATTTTTTATCAACGGTTATTGGTTCAAGTAGTAAAGCATTTTAGTATTGTTTAAGCAGGTCTTGAGTTCAAGGGTTTATGTATGTAGAAAATCCCCGTAAGAAGACTCACGCACCAAAATTAGATGTGAGACATGAGTTGATCCAGATTAATCAGAATAAAGTCATGGAAACCGGAAGGACAACAAAAAATTCTATTTTCCTATTTTTCTCTATCCATACGATTCTCAGCCACAGTATGGCCAACTCCGACCATTATGGGGCAAGTTTTTTCTGTGATTCACTTCCCTTCCATCGCTCCAATCGAACTATGCCCCTCCCAAAAGATAGATCGAGGTATCTTCATTGTGGATCCAACCTTTAATATTTGATATGAAGTCATTTTCGTCGTAGATTTAGAGAAACCGAAGCCCTCGCCACTGTAAGCCTCTAATCTGGTGAGATCCACTTTCCTATCCTTTTCTTTATATTATTTCTATTCTTTATTTGATTTTTTTTTTGCAAGGAACAATTGTCGTGTGTTCTTGCGTCGTTGATGTTGTTGACAATATCATTTAACCCCTCTTCAGCTAAGTAAACCCTAGTTAGGGTTGGGTTATACAACCCGTTAGGTAGGCCTACCTTAAGCTTAATCAGTCTGAACATTTTCATTTGGGTCCATTGAATTGGCTAGTGGTACATAATGAGTTGAGCAGTTCTTGAGCTGCTCGAGCTCGATTCGGTCAAAACTTAATCAATACTTAAATCTAGTTGACTCAACTCGAACTCGAGACCTTAACGAATTAATTCGAGCAATGTAAATTAGATTTAATAAGTTCATGAGCAATTCGTTTATTTTTTTTTATAATTTGTTAATAGTTACCTTAAAAACTATTGTTTTAAAAAAAAGAAAGTCTAAATAATAATTACTAATTTCTTAATAGATAATAAGAAAGATATTAAATTATTAATTAATAATTACTACTAATGTACTAATGTATTAATATTCTACTAAAAATAAGAAAATTATTAAATTACTAATTAATAATTATTAATTTACTACACCAAAAAATCAAACCCTAATCGTCCTACCCAAAAATTATGGTGAGCTTAACGAGTAACGAGTAAAGTAACAAACTTTTTTAACGAGTATGAATCGAGCAAAATTTTAACGAACTTAACGAACAACGAGTCTACTCGAACAATACATTTTTTTAACAAGCACTGCCCAACTTACTATTGACTCGCTCATTAAGCACCCTTAAACTCAACCCATATATAAACCCTATTGACCCAAACCCTTATTGATTTGACCTAACTAACCTGAGTAAAGCCAACTTAACCCAAGTCACGAGCTGAGTTGAGTTGAGAGCCAAATCGAGTCGTAAGTCGAGCTTGTCACACCCCAATTTAGGGGCTAAGTTTTAGAAATTTTAAAGTATTGAATTAAAGTGGTATTTTGGAAGAAATTGAGGATTAAAGTGTAAAATCGTAAAGTTGGTAGACTATTTTAGAAGTTGTAGGAATTTCAGGGACCTAGCCCTGAATTTGCTCATTTTGTGTCGGCAAAGAAAAAATGGGCTGTTTAAAGTTTGGTTTCTAGTTACAAACCAGAAACAAAGCAAATTTCCAACCCCAATTTTCCCCAAATTTCCTTCACCTTCGACCCCTTTTTATAGCCTCGATTCTCCACCATCCGGCCATCGTTCGTAGCTCTGACACCAACAATAGATTCACCATCAAACGGTGAATAAAACTCGACCTCTATCTCGTCGTGAATCAGCGTCGTTCGTCGTAAAACTCAATCGGAAGCTTTGTCGGTTTTAACTCAACCGCCGTTTATTTTCGTCGATTTCGGTCGATCCAGTCACCCGTTCATAACACCTCCTACACCATCGGACTCACCGTCACTGTGCACTCAAAACCCGGCTGAAATCATTGCATCGTTGTTGCACCATCGTCGTCACTCGCCGACTACCGTTGAAGAAGTTCGAAAGTTTTAAAATTATGTAATCCTTTATGTTTCGTCGAAAAATAACACTTGCACGAGACTCCCGGGGTGTTGATCTACAAATATGGAAAATTTCATCACCGTCCGATGATCGGAGCCGCCGCACGTGCCACACGCACCACTCCCTGCGCGTGGGCTTCGTCTGGCTGCCTGGGGAACCGGCTGACCGGCTGGACCGGTCTGAATCGGATGGACCGGTCTGGACCGATCCGAGCTACTGAGCTCCCGTGCCGAGCCAAGCTGTTGAGCCGAGCCGTTGACCATTGACTGAGCAATTCACCGTTGATCGTCATTGACCGACCGTTAACTTTTTCTGGGAACACCTATCCTGACGTTTTTCGACATCCTAAGTCCGTTTTTAGGTCCGTTTTGCCAAATTCAAACCCGGTAAGTTGTTTTTCACTGATTAACCACTCGATTCGATCCGTGTTTCACAATTAAGCTTCGTTTCTAATGAAATTTCTATTGTTATGTATCTGAGGAATTATTGGACATTGAATTAAAGATTGAGGGCAATCAAATGGAGTTTAAATGGTCGATCAGTATGGAACGGAAACTGAGATCATACTCTATTACCTTTTGTATACTTTTCAGAACTCATGGATAAATTACAAAAATGTCCTTATACTGAAAAAGGACCAACACTTCCCCTAGTGGTGAAATTAACCTCTAATAAGAAAATGAGCAAATTAATTTGAATTTTAATGGAACTGGAATACTTTTAAGACTAATTTACCTGAAGTAATACCATTGACGGAATTGAATAAAATTGTGATAATACCCTTAAACAGTAAAACGAAATATGGATGACTATGATAATAGAGACGACCTGAGAACTCATACCTTGATTCACTGGAACATTGGAATCATCGAATTAAATTTCATATCTATATTAGAATTATAGAAATACCTTTAAAGTGTAAAATGACCAAAATGCCCCTAAAGTGTAAAATGGCCTAAAGTACCTCTAAACCCTAGAATTACTAATATCACAGTTTTGAAATGAACTGAATGGAAGTACTACACGTATATGAATCGTTGAAATGGCCGAATTACTTTGGAAACTTCGAAGTGACCGGGATAGACTTGACTAATAAATGAACTTAGCAACCTCAATGATTGAGGATTAAGTAAATGATTTGGATAAGTCTAGAAACTCTGATGAACTTACATGATGTATCATCCCTATGGGTTATGAACCAAAAATCAAGTAAGTCGGTATTTCCTGATACCGTTGAAACGTGGAAATGAAATAAAGACATATGGAGTATATATAGTCGTCTCCTTAAGATTTATTCAGCGATGATTCTGAAGATGATATATGGACAATAATTGTTGGTATTAAAGAGTGAATACCCTGGAAGGACAATGAATTGACCATTTGACAGGCTTCAGTTCTGAGAGTTGTTCAGCTCGAGTTGTTCGATAATCCGATAGATCGACACAAATTATAAGTACCCTAAATCTTCTTTTTTCCCTTATCAGCTCAAATCACTCCGGTCATATATGAAAACCCAAGTAACTCATATGCAAAGGATTCTGAATACCCCATTTGGTTCAATTTGACTAAAATCATGTTAATTCAATGCATACTCTTGAATATCCAAGATTGTTTGGGTAATAGAATCACTCTCAGTAAATCTAAATATAGAATTATTCTATATAAGGTTCC